CTATCAAGAAGTGCCTGTGTCAAAAGAAAAAAAGACACAGCAACAAAAAAGGAGGGAAAAAAAACAAAAAAACAAAAAGGCAGAAAGAAAGAGAGTGTGGTTGTTAGCCCTATAAGCTGCCACACACACGCATGTTTTTTTTTTTCTTTTTTGTTTTTACCACAAAACATCCCACGGGATGAACCCCACTATCAAGAACTGCTTGTGTTAAAAAAAAAAAAAAAAAAAAAAAAAAAAAAAAAAAAATTTTTTTTTTTCCCCAAAAAAAAAAAAAAAAAAAAAAAAAAAAAAAAAAAAAAAATTTTTTTTTTTTTATATAAAAAAAAAAAAAAAACAAAAAAGGGGAAAACCCCCAAAAAAAACCCCCCCCCCCACAAAAGCCTTTGTAAAAAAAAAAAAAAAAAAAAAAACAGCAAGAAAAAGAGGTCACCCAAAAAAAAAAGAAGCAGAAACAAAGAGAGGCTAGCTGTTATAGCCCTTATAAGCTACAAACACCCATGGCTGTCGAATTTATTCGAGCGTAAGACATCAGGTTTAACAATTTAAGGTCAACGTTTTTTTTTTTTTTTTGTTTTGTTTTGTTTTGCTAACGAAAGCCGGGAACGGGGCCCGCTGTACCTTACAAAAAAGTCGATTTAATCTCGTGGGCCCGCTATGAGCAAAAGGCATCATCAGCCGAGATCGAAGGTGGTCATCCACCGTTTTTTTAAATGAAATGACGGCCTTGACGCTTTTTATTTTTGTTTTTAACCAAAACATTGTTGAACTGGCCGACCCAAGATAATTCAGAGTCCTAAGGGTTTTTTTTTTCCCGACTTTGTTCACGATTCGGGACAAATAAATCCACTCCTAACTCAAGGATTTATTTATTTATTTACTTTTTTTGCTGAGTTTATCTTATCCCTCCAGCATTGTGCATCCCCGGAATCGTGTACTGCTTCTTAGTTTTTCTTTATTCTTTTCTGTTTCCTAAAAACTCGTTCTTTCTTGCACTGATCAGCGCGGGCTCACCGAAAGACCAGTCACTGCTCGTACGGAAACCC